CCAGTCGCGCCCTCAATGGCGCTCGTGCATCCAAGCTATTGCCTTCAATGCATAACTCTTTTTCCAACCAACCCCCACTTGATAGCCCACTGACAGTGCTGGATTTATGCACCAATTTATCGTCTCCCGCCTGCAATGCACAGCTACCTCCCCCTCCCACCAAATCATCGGTGAACGAAACTGTGGCAGCTACATCCACTGTACGACGAGTACGCGGTTATTACAGCTGGCAATGATGATGACACGGTAGGTGTAAAACTGGTTCCCAGTGATCCGCCTGCGAAATGTCACTTGCACGGAGAGTTCAAATCAGCATTTCCCACCAGCCATAACTTTACTCAAAAACCTGTCCAATGGAGTTTATTCTTCTTAGGAAAGTTGAGATTATTTTGCCTCCTTTGTGGTGATGTCTCCCCGCAGGACAACTCACCACCACCAACACTCGATCCCCGGCAATGAAACTCCTAGAGCCAAATTACTATTTTTGGCGGGATTGATGAACAGTCCGTTCCGACCAAGTATTTGCAATTAAGGAAGCAAATCGCACCGATTCTATTGTGGCACGATGTGGCCGCAATTCTTCGTTCACTATCAAGTGACCGAATGGATCGGTGCACGTGACCTTCAAAAACACCGCTCCCCTATTTGACCACTTAGTTCGAACAAGTCCTTGCGGCTGATTTTACACATGCCCTGTTGTCCGAATAACACACGCAAGTTCTCAGTGTCTGCGATGTTATCCCGTACGGCCACAAACAATCTTGGTATCAATGACCGGTAACCTTATTGACGAAGCTTAATCAACTACAAGTTGAGGGCACTTTTGTAAGGTTGACAAAATTGACCTAGTTGGATATAGTTGGAAGCAAATTGGCCCCTAAAGTGTTTCAACCTTACTGCAGCAACATCTTCCATGAACTTGTGAACAATTGTCAGATCACACCGACAAATCAGCAAATGTCAACTAGTAAACAAACAGTCAGCAGTTTCCTACTTAGTATTTTTCAGGTTACAGTGAGGACTACTCACAAGGTTGCTGAAAAATCTTCGACAACCCACGACTGGTTTCGCCCTTTTCGGGGCTCACCGGGTAGACGCAGTCCTCGAGTTCCCGTCTCTTAGTGTTCTACTTGAACCCAAAGTGGACTGTTTTCGAGAAATACACTCATTCGCAAATCAATTTGGTTTCCACGAGAGACTCAACTGAATCTCTGGTTAATGATATTCTACAACTGCATGTGCTGCACACA